TCTTCCCTTAGGTCAATCAACTTTTTCCCCATCTGCAATGTTGTTAGCAACCCTCCATGGTGGCACACAGCCTCTCACTCATTCACTGAGGGTAATTTTTTACTCATCACCCCTCAGATAGACTCCACATAGGAAACAGTCACTCCAGGGTTACACATCCTCACATGGCACAACTGCTCAGCAGAGAAGGCACATCTTAATCTGCTGCCAATCACAGCTTACAGTAAGGCTGGGCCATATGGGATCTGAGACTGGGGCTCTGTTCCCAGTCCCAGCAAGGGAGGAGGAGGAGGAAAATATCACCCACTCTTTCTCCTAAAATAGGTGCAGCCCACTGCTCAGCTTTTGAGCTCATCATATAGGTGCGGCCCACTGCTCAGCTTTTGAGCTCATTGCAACCAAGATACACTACATGAATGTCCAAGAGCTGTGTCTGGATTACAGCAGCTTTGCCTACAAAGGGAAAGTTGGAAACTTGTTCTCCTGAGAGATACTTGGTTTTCTAAATATAATCCAGGTATCTCCCAAATCATGCATTCAGCTGACCTGAACTCCGATTAGGAAGAAGAATTTTTGTTGTCTCCAACAGTCTTTTTCCTCATGATACTCTCCTGCACCACTTAGGACCTGATAGAGGAAATACCTACATGCACAATTAATGGCATACGTATTTTCAGCAAATTAACCATTAGCAACTGCCAGAGCTTACAGTGGTGGAAAGAGTCATTCACTTTCTATTACCTCTGTACTCACACACACACACACCTTTTTTTCTTTTTGGAAGGCCTCATATTATTGCAATCATGGAACTAAGCAGGTTCTCTCACTGATCACATAAAGCCTTCTCCAGTCAATGGTAAATCAAGCAGAAACATTTTACAACTCTTGTTCAGTCTTCTGGGCAGGAGCATATGGCACAGGCAGCTCCAGCAAGTCAGTTTTCCTTCCTTCCTTCCTCCCTCCCAAGCAGGGACATGTTGAATATGTGGAATTGGAGATGCTCATGAATGTGCCCATATTTTTCCCCCATCCTGGATGTCTCCAGTTTAAAAAATCCTAAAATAAGATAATCCTGTTTGCCCAACTAATTGTTCACCAGATTTATAATGGTGCACATCTGCCTTTGCTGTTAGAACATGGGTGCATAGTGACAGGTGCAACAGCTGGTTTTATTATTGTATTTTTTACACTCACAGTTAAACACTAAACAAACATCTGTGCAGAGGGCAAAATTTCAAAGTGCAGCTAGGAGAAGGAAAAGGTAACTAGAAAAGCAGTAAGACTACCACATAACAAATGAAGACTTTCCACCATGAAGGAGTTTGTCATGTCCCTCTGTTCACAGGCCAACTCTAGAAGACCCTTGCAGCAGAGATGGCTGTGCTTCTCCTCAGCACAGCCTTACTTTTACAGCTCCACCTCAGGAATTAAGGCCTAAATCCTAGTTGCCAAGTACAAAAAAGCCTGACAGCTCTCCTGCCTCAAGACACAAGGTGAAGTGTTTCTGCACAGCACATAGGAGGGTTTTTCCCCCTCCACACACACAGAGAAGAGACATGGTAATGTATACATGCATAAGAGTTTCAGCTAGGTGACTTGGTCAGCATGTAAGTACCCTTATTTTCATTTTACACTCCCAGGAGCTGCACAGAAGGGAAGTCACTTGCCTGTCTCAAAGCAGCTCTGGTCCAGAGCCCTGAGTTGTGCTTTCTTCACCTTGTATACAACTGCTCATGAATAATGGCATAGGACTTGCTTTTCCCCTTCCCTTGTGCACACATACTTGTATCCCAAGGAGTAAGGAAGATTATGTGGATGAAGAATATCCTCTGAGATCAGGCAAGCACAACACTTTTCAGAAAGTGGTCTCTAAAGCACCAAACAGGAGTAACGGTCTCGTTCCCTCCTTTCTCTCATCCATCATTCAAGCATTGCTCTATTCAGCTGCATTTTCAGATGTGCCCTGGCACCCATGGCATGTGGGCAAACAGAACATTTACAGAGGACTGATGTGTCACAAGCCAGCCCTCATGCCTTGTCCTTGGCTCCAATTTGTCCCTTGCTTTGTAGGCCTGTCCTCATGAGAGAGAGCAGCAGAGAGGGGAAAACAGCAGAATTCACAGCATCAGGAAAAAAAAAAAAATCCCTGTTTCAGAGCCAGACCACTTCAGACCTGGCTTTGCTTCAGAGGGAAAGCCATTAAAGTCACCCACTGCAGCCCTTCCACATGGAAAATGCTCTTTTTATTCAATTAAATTTCCTGTAACTAAGGTTAATGGTCCACATGGTATCTGCCTCAAGGTATCAGAGGCTCCTGGCTGACCTGCCATCAGCAGAGAGACAGGAGGAGACTGAAAAGACCAGAAAGAGCAGAGGAGCTCACAAGTGGCAGGCAACTGGCAAACACTGGCTGACACTCCACTCGCTAAGAGTTCAAGACTAAAGATTACCTTGAAAGGTAAGGACTAGTACACTGAATTGTTGCAGAACTTGCATTCCTCCAGAAGATCCAACAACTACCCAGAGGACAGCATGCCCCTAAGTATCTTCACAACTCTTGCACAAGAAAAACCTGCCCACAGGAGCACAGTCCCAGATTAAAGTCAGTATTTCCACTACCAAGCTTCTAAACCTTGAGCAATCCTCATCAACAGGGAGATGCAGGACCACCAGAACACAGCAACTTCTGCCTCTGACCAGACTGGCAAGAGGAGACCCAGCCAGGTTTGCCTCTCATCAGTTCAGGGCTGCAGCTGGGGAAGGGGCTGCACACACAACCAATTATCCCAATTAGGCCAGGCACCTTACAGGCTTCTGCTGGTTCAGCTCAGGAATGGCATCTGTAGGGCTTCTCAGTGAGGAATCATAGAATGGTTTGAGTTGGGAGGGACCTTTAAAGATCATCTAGTCCAAATCCCCTGCCATGGGCAGGGCGACATCTTCAACTAGATCAGGTTGCTCAAAGCCCCATCTGCCCTGACTTTGAATGCTCCCACAACTTCTCTGGGCAACCTGTTCCAGTGTCTCACCACCCTCATCATAAAAAAATTTCTTCCTTTTATCCAACGCAAATCTACCCTCTTTCAGTTTAAAACTGTTGCCCCTTCTCCTGTCACTATAGACCACTGCAAAAAAGCTTCTCTTCATCTTTCTTATAAGTCCCCCTTTATATATTGAAAGGCCACAATAAGGTCTCCCTGGAGCTTTCTCTAGTACCTTCTCTATTCTCAGAAACTGTTCTGGGCAGCCCTCACCAGAAATCTTCCTAGGACAGTCCATCTTTAAGTGGTTTTTCTCTTCCAAATTAGTTTTCATAACAGGAGCTGGTTGCATGGCTCTCTTTAAGCACATTCATGGCAGTGCTTGGAAAGTTCTGTGTTGAAAAAAAGTATTAAGCCTCAAACCTGAAGTTTCCCTTCTTGAATATGCTCTTGACCAGCTCAGTATCTGCAGAGATTTCATGTTCCAGCATACAGGAACATGGAGATTAGTCCACCAAAGCTTCCACATAAATGAAATGCAGCAGTAGTCTGGACCGGGTGGCTCTTCACAGCTGTGGGAATGGGCTAGTGTCTGAAAGTAGCCATCAAGCAGAAGATGCATTTAGATACCTGCAAACACCACTGAGCAGCCCCATACTCCCTCCCTGCCTCCACCCACTCCACTATCACCCTAGTTATCCAGGAGAGAAAACTTCATTGTGGAAGGTGCCCATCAAAACACACAGCTTCAAAGAGCACATTAAATTGAAGGAACTAGATTCATTTTAACTGAAGTCAGTATGCACACTGTCTTCACTAACAAGCCCCAGACAACATCTGGTCTGTCAACAGGCCCTCATCATAATACCCAATATCTTTAACACCTGAAGAAGCCTAACTTACATCACCACCAGCTTCTACAAGGAGGCTCAGGCCCAAAGCATGCTTTTGGCCTCCTGGGTTCAGTGGTGACACCCAACAGCTAAGTATTGCTGGGCTCAGTTGCATCATAGTTCCACACAGAACTCCTGCCACATAAATACCAGGTGCATTTTATTACATAGTAACACACATAATAGAAGAAAGACAAGTCTTTAAAGGGTTGGATCTTTTTGGAATTTCAGAGTAAAGCAAAGGATGATTAACACCACCTCTCCCTGCTTGCCCTCCTTCATCATGCTCTTTAGCAACTCCCTTCATGGTGAAGCATTAGAAATATAGTGTGGAAAAAGCATTGTGTTCCATTTTCTCTTGTCCCGTGCAACTGAGGGCAGGAAGGAAGATTCATTAGCTCAGTTCACCATCTTTTGGTACACCAGAACATCTTACCCAGCAATTAATGCTCAATCCAAACAACGGGGGGCAGAGTTTCCAAGGTACCACTTAGCTACTTGAGAAAAACACGACGTTAAACAGGGGGGAGGGGGAAAACTAGCAATAGCTAGGCATACATAAATGACAGGTTTCCTTCACACATCAAACAGCCACAGCTTTAGCAGTGCTGCCCCGCAGCCTCCTCACATCACACCTCACCCGCGCAGCCCTGTCTCACCTCCCGGGCTCCCAGGGGAGAGCACCCTGATCCTACATAAGCACTCAAGTGTGAAAAATGGTATTTAAAAAGGCTTATAAAGTGCATACATACCTTTTTTTTTTTTAAAGGTATTATCCTTGTAATTCCCTTCTAGACTTTTAAGCCCATTTTGCTGCTAGAAGCGCTGGATACCAAGCCCCCGTCTGGGGGGTGCACCAAACCTTCAGCCCACCCCGTGCCCTCCGGGACACCGCCACCCTCTCTCCCCACAGCCCCGGGGTGCCCCGGCCGTACCGGGGAAGCCCGCAGGTGCACCGCGGTTCCCGGCCGCAGGATGCGGACAGGACCGCGGGCGCGGAGGGGGGAGCCCGGCCCGCTCCCGCACAGCAGCGGAGCCGCAGCGGCGCCGGCGCCCGCCCCCCTCCTTCTCCTCCTCCCCGGCCACACCGGGCCGGGGAAGCCGGTGCTCCGGGGGACGCTCCTACCTGACCGGGCTCGCTGCTGTAAGCGAAGGCGTAGACCCGCTCCGCGTTGATGTTCACGGTGCCCCGGTAGACGCGGCCGAAGGAGCCGGGCAAGGGGCTGCCCCCGGGGCCGTCCCCCGCCACCGCCGCCGCCGCTACAGCCCAGAGCAGGGCGCAGAGCAGAGCCCCGGGGGCCGGGGCCCCTCCCGGGGCCATGAGCTCGTCCCTGCCGCTGAACCGGCCCCGCGGGGCAGCCTTCACGTCCGCCGGCCGGCCGGTGCGGCACCCGGACTGTCTCTCCGCGGTAGGGCGGGCGCCCAGGCGTTTTATTTGCAATTTAAATAAATAGCTCGGCGACACGCACAGGAGGCGGGGAGGCAGCCCCGGACACCCCCGCCCCTCGACCGGGGGGGCGTCGAGCAACTTTCCCGAGGGAAAGACCGGCCCGGCGGGGAGGGGAAAGGAAGGGAAAGGGAGGCCGGCGGGCTGGCCGGCCGGCCCCGGGGAGGAGGGTCTCCTTACTGTGCCCGGCCCCAAATTCTGAGCTGGCCTTGGCAGAGCGTTGTCAGGGAGCTTTTCCCCTTGGGGAGCTGTGCTGGGAGCTTAGGGGCACGCCGGCATCGTCAGGGCCACGGCAGCGGCACCAGCAGGGCTTCAACACCCCCGGCCCATCGAGTCAGGGGTCTCCTCGCCCCGCGCTCTGCCGGCTTGCGGGGGTGGCGGCTTGCACCTGCAATGCGTCTTCCATAGGGCCATCCCCAACCTTTATTTTTGGCTGCTTGTAACTTTGGGATAAACGCCCTCGTCTTTTAGTTCAGTCCAAAGGTGTGGAAGGCTGCAGCCAAATGTCATTTCGTTAATTCAAGCATGGCTTGGTGCATCTTATATTCTTTGGGTCATTCATGAAACTGCTACAAACAATACTGTGATACTCTCAACCTTTTCAGCAAGATGAGGGCGATGCTGTTGGGCTGTGAAAGGGCCAGGGGTCTCCCTCGGATGGCTTAACCCTCCTACGTTCTTCTGTTGAAAACACATCTGGGAAATGTGTCAGATCCCATGGTGGAGGGATGCACTTTCAAGGCAGAGAAGATAAAGCGTTACTAGAAAGCAATCGGAAAGGTTTTTCAGACTGAGGATGAACTTGTAGGAGCTGCGGTTTTATAAAGCCAGCCTGCAGTCTCCAACTGCGGTGACTCTGGCCACAGAAGCTTTCCAGGTTGTGGGTTTTGTTTTCAAGACTGAGAGATTTCCTGGGGAGTCACTCGTCGTCTTTGGAGGAAAAGTTGCAAAGCTCAGCGAAACGAGCCAGCGTGCATTAATGCCGTCATTTTGATCTTCAGGCCTTTGTGTGATCTCTGCCAAAAGAGAAAAACAAAACAATTGTCAGTGAATTCTGTGTTTGTCTGGTTGCAGGCTGCCATTCAAGTCACCCCACCTTTTGTCAGAGTCCCAAGAAGTGGCATTAAGGGCAAAACCCCCCCATTTAAGATCTGCTGGAAGATGGACACTCCAACACAAAGAGTTTGCCTTTCAGCCTGGAGTATCATGCTGTGGAGACCAGGAGACCTGTGCACTGTCACCTCTGAGCTTTTGTGACTCTGTCTTGCCTCTTAGCAGGACACGGTGTGACCTGTCCTGGGGACCTTCAAGCAGTGGTGGCACTGGGAGACTTGTGGCTTCCCCTCCCCAGCCTGTAGAGCCCAGGGCTCCTGAACCCTACAGCACCCTTTTCACCCACTACCCTCTGCAGACCCACAGATCCCTTTAGCATGTGCCAGAGGGAGGAGACTGGGGAGCACATCTTCTCCCAGAGAGGAGAGGCTTCAGGCGACAGGAGGAGGTACAGCAAAGCAAAAGCATGTCAGGGCCCGTGACGGTCTAGCAAATTATAGCCAATGTCTCAAACATTTGTTAAAGAACTTTGGTGGAGAACATGGCCTCTGTAAAAGCACTGGAGTGGTGTCAACAGGAAAATGTGGCTGGAGGAGAAGGCCCCACAGAGGGTGGGACCGTGCTTCTCCAAAGCCACAATTCCTTATCTTAAGCGACCATGAGAAGCAGCACAATGTATGCGCCTGAATGGAAGGCCAGATAGCAGTCATGCCTGCAGGGAGGGAGAAGCAACTCCCTGATGACTCCCCAAGCCCACCAAACCATTTCCAGAGAGTCCTGGGAATGTGAACTGCACAGGTCAAGACCACCGACTCATTTCTGGAACATTCCTGAGCTCACACTGCGCTTGCTCAATGACGGCAAATCCCTACCTGCAGGGGTGGATGCTTTAGGTATAAAAGAAGGGAGGACGAGTTCTCGGGGTGCCCTCCAGAACTAGATCTCTACACTGGCTGGACCAACGCTGGACCCAGGACCGGTGAAATCCCTTTCTTCTCTCTTTCTTCCTCTTTTCTCTCTGCCCCCCACCCAGTCCCTACACCTCGTCCCTTTAGACATAAACTGTTGACCAAGTCTGGGACTAGGAGTGGATCTAGCCACCCCTGGGCTCCTCTTTGAGAAGGAGTCTAGAAAGCAAGGGGGTCCACTCTGAACCTTGTAACTCAATGGGAGGGCTCTCCTTATTGTCTTCCCTGAACTGATCCCCAAATAAGTAAGGCTCATATACGGTTAGCACACGTTGTACAGTTTACTGACATAGTTTCATGTTCCCTTTTCTGTTTCTTTTTCTATACCTCCCTTCTCCTTTCAAACAGCGGCTTAATGACATGATGCAGGGTTCACATTGATAAGTTCACTTGTACTTGGGCAAGGTTAGCTTGGTTGAATAAATGTTGGTTGTTGTTTAAACTCCCCTGGTGTTGTTTCACCTTAATTCTGACAAAGGAAATCCATGAACCTGAGTTGCTCCAGCCTTGGGATGCAACAGGGCCATGCCAGGTTGCTCAGAGCAATGTGACAGATGGCACAAGGCCAGTATTCTGCAAACCAAGGTAGCTCTGGCAGCTGCAAATAATTTTTGTGTCATTTGGTGCTGTACATATTTCAAATCGTGAGATCAGTGTGGTGTCAGTGCGTTGTCCCTCCCTAGTTGTGTCGTCTTCGTGAGGAAGAAGTGGCTCTTCATGTAATCCACACTTTCCAATGCAGAATTACGGATTTCTTAAAGTACTTTCCCTGAGTGGACATACGTTTTGGTGTCTTACCAAAGACTACATGTTTTTTCCTTGTTTTGAATTTGAGAATTCAAGTTTTCTTTTCAAAGTGTAATGCTTTGTTCTTGTCTTCATTGAATTTCACCTCACTGTTTTGAGGCTATTTAGCAAAGTTAAACCTCTGTTCAAATCTTTGCCTCTGAAGTGTGGTACTGTCCAACTTGGTGTTATTTGCAAAAGTTTGAAGACAAAGGTCAATTCCACCATTCAAGTCACTAATTAAAGTAATCAATCCTAGCAGACAGATCAGATCTCTTAATTTGGTATAACTTCCTATTGACAGGAAAATATCCACAGCTACAGTTTGGGAGTTGCTTTCTGATCCCCCCTCTCATGTTAATACAAGCTGAGACTTATTTGCCTTTATGAGAGTGATGTTCAAGGCAATGTCAAAAGCCCTACCAAAGTCAAAATATGTTTAATCTATTCCTTTCAGCACCTGCTAAGTCTGTTATCTCAGCAAGGAGATAAATTAGGTTACTTTGACATGATTTGTTCTGAACAAATGCACACTGCCTGTTTCTCATCACTTTATTGTTATTTAGTTGCTTGCACACTGATTGCCAAACAACTTGTTTCATTATCTTTCCAGATAACAAATGGGGGTTGGCTGATTTATAACTCATCACTCAGCCCCTTTGATAAAGAAGGGTGGCCCCTTTTCACTTCTACCTGGATCTGGTTCTTGAATGGCAGCATGTGTTTTGGAAGAAAGAATTAGTCCCTGTAAGAGACAAGATGCTGATCCAGACAGACCATGGGTCTGGGTCAGTGGAAGTAGTCTGATATTCTTGTATGTGCCACAGTACTCTAGCGTCAGGGGCCAGTGAGGGCCAGCTGCTCCCTAAGGTTTTGGGGCTTTTTTTGGTTTTGGTTTTAGGTTTGCAGGTTTTTTGGTTTGGGTTTTGTTTTTTTTTTTTGCTATAGCACAGAAGTAGAAAATCTCATTGCTATTGGGGAAAAAAACACAGTAAAGAAATGACATTTCTCCTAGTAACCAGGGCTGCAAAACCATCTAGGATAGAGGAAAGATCTTAATTACAAATGAATTCCCCAAATCATACTAGCTTGGAAGGGGAAAGAGTATAAATGTATAACAAACCAAATTGTTTGGAAACCTGATGGTTTAAATCACTGCTGTTGGAATATGTAGTCTCCATCTTATGTAAGCTCCACTGCGAGTTAATAGATACTGTAGATGCTCAGCTGGCTTCTGCAGAGATAACGCAACATTTTCAGACTCTGCTGTAAACGCAGTGTGAAGAACAACAAGAACTGCAAGGTAGACAGGCTTTTAAGGCGTCTGATAGAACCTGCCCCCCATTTTCTTGTAGGGGGGTGAAGTGTTTGAGAATAGGCTGGTTGAATGAGAAGTGTCTCTGGCTTGTATTATATTTGCTTGTATTAGGTATTTAACATTTATATTTGATTGTAATTAATAACAGTAGAGAGGTTTAGGAGGTTTCACAGTGGATGACGTATTGATCTAATTGTGCCTTTATCTCTTCATTCTTCAGTAGACTGTGTTCTTTCAGACAATTTAAAGCCGTGTTAGGAGAGAATTCCAGATGCACCCTTGATTTATACTTTTGGATGCAAAACTTGCCCATGTGCCTAGGATAAAGGATTTGTTTTACCACAGGCTGAAATCTGATGTTCAGTTTCAGGTTGCGTATGGTATCTATGTTTAGTGCCTAGATGGAAACTCAAGTTCAGATGCAACCTCCAGTATGAAAAAAAAGACTTAGCCACATTTGCAGCACTTCAGCAGAGGCAATTGCTGATAGTATTTCTCTGTCACTTTTTTCCTCCCCTCATAATTTCAATCTTCTTTTTCTTTTTGTATCACATGCAACACAATTCCTTCCCTCAGCACATTAACCATTACCATCTGCACCTTCACATGAATCTTTTTACAGTGATGTTGGTAAAGCCAGAATTAGATTTGTGAGGACCTTAAGCACCAGGAAATCTTGGTGAATGGGAATTTTTCTCTTTAAGAAAGGAAGGAGTTTTGAATGAAAGGCTGATAAACCCTATGTCTTCACTTTCCAACTCCCACTGACAAAATATTAAGCTCACACTGTAATATAAAATATTAACTCTAACCCTTCAGAGTAGTTTACATCTTGCCTCTGCATGTGTGACAGGGAAGTGGCATATTCATGGAGTCAGTCTGTAAGAAATATATTGCACTCCTGTGTAAGCTAAATGACTTGTTTGAGAACAGCCTGTTGCTTTGTGGAAGCTAGAAATTCCTAGTGGGTAGGGAAGTACACCGTTCCTTAGTGGCACAGCTAATGAGATCTGTTTGTTGAAACACAGTCAAGGGCGACTCTTTGATTTGATGTCGCCTTAATGTAATAATTTGTGTGACATTCTGCTCTTAATCACCCATAATAGGATCTGAAATACATTATTGCATGGGGAAATTCGCAAAGCTTCCTCAGAGGGACATTGAGACATGGCTTGGGAGGGTATTTGCAGCGAGGACAGATATTAGTGAAATGAGCGAGTAGGAAAATTAAGGTGAGAGGTGGAAAACATGGTAGAGTGACATTGCTAGGGGCAGCTCGTGTGGATTTTCCCTGTGAAGTATAAAGAGCCCCCTCCACACAAGGCTGGAGCCGCCAAGGCACTGCCCTTCTTGGGGGGGCTGTTGTTCTCTGCACCCCTGAGGTGCCACCCGGGGGTGGGCAGGGGCAGAGGCTGCACCCTGACAGAAAACCCAAGAGAGAGAAGGAGCCGCGAGGCACCGGCGATAACCTACCCCCGTGAAAGGGAAACCCGGCGTGAGGTGAGGGTGAACGAGGCGGGGATGTTTCACCGCGGAGGGCGGCGGTGGTAATTTGGGGGGCCCCGGGGGGGGGGGGAAGCCGGGGCGGGAAGAGCGTTTACCGCCTGACGGCCCTTAGGGCGGGAAGGGAGAAACGGCTCCGTCCCCATGGCAACGGCGGGTGGGCGGGGAGGCGCGCGCGGCCCGCTCGAGCTTCCGCCTTCTTCCCGCCGCCCCGCGGGGGGGCGGCCATGTCGCTGCTGAGGGGACCGCGGCCCCGCGGCCCCGGTAAGAAGAGCTCCAGAAAGGCGGCGACGGTTAAGCGGGACTGGGATGTAAGTGCTTCCCCTTCCCGGGTGTTGAGACGGGTCCCCTGAGCCTGCTTCGGTCCTTGGCGGGTTTTCCCGCTCCTCCTCAGGTTTGCGGGCAGCAAGGCGGGCCCGGTGGCGGGGTTACTTTTGCTGGGTGATACGCAGATAGCGGTGTGGCCTTTTACCGGCTGGGGAACGGCCGGGGAGTCTCTGCCGGCTGAGGTGAGGGGCGGGGGGGGGAAGGCTCTAGAGGTCACCGTCCTGTGTGGGGGCTCGCGTTTGGGGATAGTCGGTTTGTGTGTGGATTTAGGGCGGGGAGGGATACCGTGATGGGGAGTTGAGTGTGCGTGGCGTGGGCATGACCCCTCTCGCTTCCTTGGTCCTGCTTGAGGTGAGGCCTCCCAGCTGGCAGCCCGCTCCTCAGGCTGAAGAGCCCGCCCAGCCTTGATAGGGGTATCATTTTTACTGACTGGCTGCCTCACTGAGGGTGGAATGCTTTATAGTACCATAAAAATGCACCATTCTATGGTTTTATGCTAATTATATTGTAGTTTAGAGGTTTTTTTTTTTAAAGAAACTTGAAAAAAAATCCAGTTCGTCCTCAGTTCTGGCTTTTGATATGTTCTCTGGCTCCTGTTTGCAGAGTACCGTCCATGATTTGTCAGTCCACCGTGCAACTCCTGAGGATATTGTAAGTTTAATAGTAATCACTGCTCCTTTGCTGTAGCAAGGAGATGTAGCTGGTGATCTAGCATAAGTGTTTACCATACTTATGGGGGATATTTTCTGCCAATGTTTAATCTCCCTTTTTAAGCTTCTGAAGATACTGGCTCTTTGTTGTTGGTTCTTTGTTAATGATATCATGCATCCTCAGCTCTGGCAGTTGGTGTTTTTCAGTTTTCTGTTTCCATTGGGAAGCAGTAGCCATAGTTTTTATTTCAATAAACTGTATACCAGCATAAAAACATAAATACATAAAAACTTGGTGGATTAGTTGAAGTCAAGTCTCATCTCTGCTGGAAGGACTGAAAGACATGCTTTATTTTAGGAATCTCTCTGATTCTGACGACACTCAATTTTCGTTTAAACGATTTAACATAATTTCTTTATACTGAATGACCTGTTCATTACAAAATATGTGAACTCCATGTCATTTTACTTGGTAGCACTGCTTATCAGGATGGAATAGGCAGTGTGAACTATTGTTGCTTATAAATTTTGACAAGTTAGTCAAGACGGATGGGCACAATAGCAGAGAGACACTTCATTCTATAAATGGTTGGCTTGATAGCTTCCAGACACTTTAGCAAGCACCTCACATTTACTTTGTTTAATTTGTATTTAAACTGAATCTCTCTCTCTGAAGAGAGAGAATATCTCTGGTGACTGACTGTTAAATCAGGAAAATTCATTATGTCTTTTTATGCATATTATCGGTGGTAGTGTTTGTTTTTTTCCTCCCTTTACAGCTGAAAAAACTCTTGCTGAGTCAGTGGTGTAGGGCAGATGGAAACTGTGAAACTTGCCCCGTTCACCTTTGGAGCCGCTTTAAATTTGGATGGTACTGATGGCATTTTACACTTCTGGATGTTTGTGACACTGTCACTGGTACTACCATGAAGTTAACATAAATAGTATTCAGCACATGAATGAGAAAATCAAGAAGAGCTTGTTAGCGTTACCCTGCAAATTTCGCTTTAGATTGTCCCTCAATTTTGAAATGGTTTCCTTCATGTTTACGTAGCTGCGTCGCCATGAAATACACAAATCAAAAAACAAAGCACTGGCCCATCTAGAACTGCAAGAGAAAGCACTGAAAAGAAAATGGAAGAAGCAAAAACAACTGGTTGGTGATTCCTTGGAGAAAAGGAAGTTGACTCTGATGCGTGAGGTGAGAGCTAAATCTGCACTTTCAGCCTGCTGCAGATGATTTGCAGCAGTAGTGGAAAACTGCTCTTGCACATAGGTCAACATTTGCTCCTCTTGTTAGATAATTTGACTTCATATATGCATGCACTCTCCTCTATGTGTTGAGTGTGTGCAATGATTGGAATAGGCTGTCTAACATATTAACTGATCTATACAGTTGTGGATTTGATCCTTGTTGCCTAGCTATGCCCTCTGTAATTCTGCAGGCCTCTTTGTGTCTGAACAGGAACTGTTTGCAGAGTTAAACTGTGTGTTGTTAAAAGTATGTGCATTCTTTGTGTTCTTATTGCTATCTTGCCTTTTCCTTCTCCTGTCTAGTATTTTTCTTTGATGGAAACGTGAACATTTCTCTTTCTGGGAGGGACATCCTTATCTGCTGTTGCTTATTTAAACAGAGGAAAATGCAGAGTCATAGGGGCTGAAAGGGTGAGGCAACAAGTTGGTAAGGAAAAACTTGAAGGAAAATTGACCCAACAAAGGTTGAGGAGCTATGGCTGCTAGCAGACAAGCTTGTCAGCTGGGGACTGAAAAGCTGTAAGCATTCTGAAGCACACTGACTAAAAATATGTTGCTTAATTAGCTTTTGAATATTGAACTGTAGCAGCAAACCTAGGCTTAGCTAACAGAGACAGTAGCTGTCAGTGTCTGAAAGGGGATTTCAGTGGTAGACATCCTTTTGTTTCACACGGCAGGCAGCTCCTTGCCATATGTTATGAAAACTAATCTCAAACCATAGTCATTAGCTTTCAGACCTCATCAGCACTTGGACAAACTGAGACTTGTTCTTGTTGGTAAGGAATGATGATGAACAATGTTCACCTAGCAGTTAAAATAAACATGATTTAGTAGTCCTGTAAATGTGCAGTGGATTAACTATCACAGACGTCCTCTCTCTTTCGTCTTTTGTAAATTTTCAGAAGTCTTTTTCTGATCTCTGAGAACGTTCAAGCGTAGACAGAAACAAATGAAAGTACTTAGAATTGAAGTTCACCTTCTAGTTTCCTATTTGACACCTGTTTCTCTGCAATCACAGTAGAATTTTTGTATTAAGGATATTGTGCTAATCAAGCCTCAAGCTTTAATTTTGACCTTTGTTACTTTCATACTTTTCTGCCAAGTGCATTTTAGTGGAGTGGTCAGAAAAGCTGTGGGCTTTTATACAAATTTCCCTAATGTAATAGCAGGCTAGTTTCAGTAAGACTTCCATGCAGAAATAAACTATGTATCACAAAGGTAGATTAGACTACCTGCTCTAAAATTTGGCTAAACTACCTATTACGTGACTTTGTTATTTTGCAGATGTGAAACTCATGGTTAGGAAATAGTCTCCCATATTTGCTGCCATTTCTAATGACAGTGCACAAATTTCAATTCCTCCTGAGTGGCTTTCCCCTTCATATTTAGAGAGATGACTTTATTCAACATGCCCTATGTCTCCTCCTGAATCAGAGAGTTTTTTTTTTTTTTTTTTTTTTTGTTCTTCTGCAGATCTGGCATAGCTTTGATTGAAAACCTGCATTGTTTTGATGTCAGATGGCTAAATGGGAAGAGTAGATTTAGTTAGTATCAAGAGTGAAAGCTGAATAGTGCTTTGGAAAAGTAAATATGTGAGGTGATTGAAAAATGAATATTCACTGATTTGCTAAATTGGTTATGAGGAGAAGTGTAATATACTGCAGTGTAATTCAGGCCCAAAAGATTAGAAGGTCATGAAAACTAGGTATATGGGGAAACGTCCTGACATAACAGTAAAATTGGTGGTGGGGGTGGAACAGGTGAAATATCACTGCCTAGAATTTTTTGAATGAGGCTGAATATAAACCAGCAAACTTGTCAATGGACACTGAAAGAAACTCTCTGGAGATAATGTCATATAATGCTCTGAAACTGCTGCAAACCAGTCCCTCTTATGATTCCTGGGGGAGCAAAAATTGTCACTCAGTTCTCAAATTTTGAGTAGGAGAGCATATGTGAGCCCATCTTTTCTGTGGGATCTTCTGAAGTACTTGCAGTCTCTCTGGCTAAATTTGATTAACTACGATGAAGTGGAGGTCACTTACATATCTAGTTGCCTCTCAGATGTTTAAGAATAACTAACTTCTTCCCAGTTTGTGGGATAATTTTACTAGTTTCCCATTTCCACCTTTGTGAATGAAACCGCAAGTCAGTGAGGAGTTTTGGATTGCCTTCTGCCCACGAAGCCATGCCTCTAGTCAGCTCCATTCAGCTCACAGTAGCTGAATTCCTCTTGGTTTGCTCTCCGAGATCTCCCTCCTTAGGAGGCAGCCATCGTGGTGCCAGTGATGGACTTCAAATACTGGGAGAGAGAGACCTTGAATACAGAAGCAGTGCCTTGTGACAAATGTGTGGAGATTCCCAAAACATCTTCTGGTGCCAGATGTAGTCAGCTGTATTTATGTCTGTTGAAACTTTTATGGTGGTAGGTGGCTTAATTTTTAGGCAAAATTTTCCATAGTCAAGGCTGAATGAAACAAATTTGCCTGAATTGGTTTGGTGCAGTTTTTGGGTGTCTGTCAGATTTAGATAAGTGTTCTTTGACCGGACAACATTGAGATCAAATGATTTGGGGATGCCTACTGACTTTTTTATTGCCAGATATCTGTATTTGTTTTGATGAGTGTGTCATAAACACCCAGCTTCTTGTTTGTGTCAGGCTGGGAGGAGAAGGGAGTGAGAGGATTGGCTCTAAAGAGAAAAAAGTCAGTGCTGATGGGGCCCCCAGAAGTAATAACTGTTTCATTTTTCAGAAAAACAAGACGAATTCTAGTCACTCAGAATGAAGTATGGTTTTCTGATCTACCTTAATTAGGATCTAATTGCACAGTACCAACTTTGCAAACATTGTCTTGTTGGCTGTTCTCTTGCTAACTGTTTAGAAGAACAATACCAAAAAAACAAAGGAAAAATCGGTCTGCTCAGTATGAAATATTTCCTCATACACTATACTTTCAGATTCTGTCTGATCAATACCATTTGCAAGATGTATTGGAACGATCTGATCAGGTTATGGCTGTGGCAAAAGACTTGTTTGGGGATGCTCCTCGCACGCGAACAGGTAGACCGTGTCATTTATGTGTGGTAGTACGTTTAAGATTATCTCCTTGCTTTTCATAAATAGCCTCGCTTTGCAAAGTATTCTTTTTAACTGTTTTCATCTCATCATCTAATGCAGTATGATTGATCCTGTTCATGTTGGATGAAACACAAATGAGGATAATACCTCCCATGGCAGGGGAGAGCGACCCATGGCCGTTATTCTACTGTATCTGTCCATTGTGGAATTTTGGGTTACTTACTGTGAAATACCTCACACTTACCATTTCCACAGCCAAGCTGCTGGCTTATACAGAGCACCAGTTCAAACTACTTCAGTAGTTCTGATTCCCATTGCTACATGGGTTGACTGCTTGCTCTTGGATATTGTTGAAGATTTATCAGCGATTTGTGAACAAGGCCTTTCCATCTCTTGCCCTGGTTTGTGGGTCCTTAACGCTACTGGAAGGCAGGACTGGCTGTTTGCATGTGAAATCTTAAACTTAGGTTCTTTTCTCTGTAGAATGCCATTCTCTTTTGCTTACAATGACTGTTTCATCCTACTTGCTTCTTCTCACCTGTTTAAATACACTTGTGCAGAAGGACAAAAGCCTGGTACATGGCCGAATGTATTAAGATAACTCTGTGGTTGGCCTTTGGCAGTTGTTTAAAGCGACATACGTCCCTGTGATCCTTTTTGTGCAAAGTACAGGAACTTGCTTTTTGGTACAAAGCCCTGTGAATATACTATAGACCGAGTCCTCTGTGTTCTTCCCTGTTGTGTCTGATTCCTCTAGGTTTCCCTAATGTAACAATGGCTCCTAACTGTGACCTAGAATCATCTCAAGGACCCATTGTACAAAAATGTGATCCTTCCACTCAGCTTTCCATCCTTAGTGAATCTGTCATGGATTCCCAGGTAATGTATGTTCTGTTCCATGCATGTCCTGTGGCTTTTTTGTTTGCACAAAATAAAAATATTCAGAGGTAGAGTTTCCAAGCAGACCTAACCCTGTCTTTTGTGTATTGTATACCATGTTGATAACATGCATAGAAAATGGTGTTAAATAAAGGTGGGTTTGTTTTGTGAGACTCTGGGAATCATGATTTTTTTTTTTTTTATTTCTTAACCTTTGAATATGAGAAACAAGCATATCTCATAGAAGCTCTCTCATATTAGCATGCTCTCCCTTTTGAATTCTGGAATTATCAGCAAGAGAACAAAGTAATTACAGACTAAGAAGACAACTCTTGTGTCAGTTAAAAAATTGCTACATATTGAAATATGCCTCTGATTTTCTAATTATGTCTGCATATATGGGGACATAGCCAGTTGGGCTCCAATTTATTTCTGATAACACACAGGTAAATGTACCCCACTTAACGCCACAGCCTTGATTAGTCCTACAAGTTTAACTTTCAATACTTCACATTATTTTACAATTATTTAGATTTGTTTAAAAGGTTTAAAAATTATTTAAATTTGTTTAAAATTCCATTTCGATTGCCTTAGTGTTCTGTTTTCTTTGCATAACGTGGGTGGTACCAGGAATGCTCACTGTGGTTTGAGAACAGGCATATGACACTCCCAGAAAGCAGCTCACTGATGAAGACCAAAAGGGCTGTGGGAGTGAAAGTGATGGTGTCATATTCTCATGGTTCTCTAATCCTGTTTCCTACTATCTTGCACAAATATCTGCAATTTGAGTTGCAGTACTGCTCTGTCATGTATTTCGATGTGGTATTTGGTTTGGGGTTTTTTTTTTTTTACTGTGAAGAGTTAACTATAGCATCTTTGTAAGCTGTATCGCTGGATGCGTGCTGCAGGATAGGCTTAAATTTTTACAAGAAACATGTACTGATAGTTGTCTGCTGAGCTTCTGTGAGATTTTCTTTTCCTTATGTGCCTACGAAAATCATAGTTAAAGGCTATCTGGTGAAGCCTACCCAGAAATGCAGAAACCTGACAGTTTGAGGAACCCTAATTCCAAATTTGATTGCTTAAGTTTTGCTATGAACGTGGTACGTAGGATTGTATTTTGTTCTGGTTGCATTTTACACATGGAATAAAAATGTAGTTTTGCAGATCTCATTACAAGGTTGTTTAGCTTGTAATGTCAAATGACTGAAACTTTAAAAATGCTATAATTTAGATTGCTTTTTCTATCTTCTGCCTGCTATATCTCTATATTTGTTTTGGTACAGTCTTTAAAGCTTTTTTTTTTAATCCTACAGTGTGTGTCGTTTTTCTTATTTCATATAAATCATCCAAATAAAACATTGGATATTGAATTAATCACTTGTTGTGTTATTTTCAGAGACAACTGTCAGTATCAGTATTTCTTAGGTACTAAAGTCCCCCAAAACTCTTCCCACAGAGGTTTGTGGTTTGTTTTCTTTCTTTTTTAAATTTTGTTTTGGAGGTGGAGACTGAAACAAATGTTTTTGTTTTTTTCTTGAAACAATTTCAGAAAATTTATCTCTTAACTACTTCCTGAAGACAAATTGAAATTGCTCTGAAGTCCCTTTTGTTTTCTTTGTCTCCTAAACAGGTTCTTAATGAAGTGGAAGAGGAAGCATTATCAATCTATCAATCAGAAGATGGACACCAGGACTTTCTGAATTTCAAATCCAGCATCAATTCTGACAGGTCAATACAAACATAGCTGTTCATGTTTCTACTTTCTCAACACTGGAAATTGACAGAGTTAAAATTGTGTGTTGCATGGGAATAGTTAAGTTACTTTTTCTGTTTCCACCCCACCCCCCA